CTAAACCCTAAACTCTAAATCCCTTGGAACCTCGGCTTTGGCCTCTTGCTTCCTTTCTGCATCTTTTAGCACTTTCCACTCCTCCAATCGCGCTTGGTTTGGTGCAAAAATGGATGTACCCTAGGGTTTAGGGTTAGGGCCTAGGGACTCCAGAGATATACATGGTTGGGGTTTGGTTTGGGGTTTAAGGCTTTTCAGGTTTGAGGGGGTCCTTATTAGGGATTATGGGGGATTGTTTTGCAAGACTAAGGTTCGTCTTCAAGGCTCAGGGACAGTGCTGCGGTGCAGAAAGGCAATTAGTGATTATGCTGGGAATTACTCATGAAACCCAAATGTCCACCTAGAGCTTAGATGGGGTTCCCAAAGTTAGGGGTACCTTTCTTGAAGGATTGTAATATTTTGGGGTCTATATTGGGGTTCTTCTATTTTGGGAAACCATCAGGTGAACCATTCACCACTTCACTGTACGCTCCTGATTTGCCCGGCTCAGCTTCTTAATTAATTGACTTCTTAGGAGTTGAAAACCCTAACGCACGCCAAGGGTCATCGTATTCGGCGAACAGGTCTTCACCGGTGTCTTCGAGGTGCCTAGACTTATAGGGCCTCTTTCCATAACCCTAAACCCTCCCTGAACCAATTTTACTAATCAGGGAGATCCCCAGGTTTGGAAATGCCAGGAGTCAGCTTTGGGGCGTACTTCTCCGGATTGTTTGTTGGTTTCAACAGAAAAGGGATTGGTGCTTATTGTTGATAGGTTCAATGCTACCTATTCCTACTAGAAGTCCTGCAAGAAGTCACTGTCTACCGTAAACATCCATAACTCCCAAGGTTTAGGATACTTTATGTACTATGTGCCGCTGAGCCTCCAAGTGCTTTGGAAATCCGCAAGACCTAGATGAATCTCGGAGGAGCAAATGGCCCTCACTCTCCGATCATGCACCCCTTTACCCCAAAATGTCCATATACTGAGGGCAGTATATGCTTGACACCCCAAGTGGGTCCTTCATAGGTACATTGAGGCCTGTCACCTGCTTCTTTGCTTGTTAAGTGCCGGGTCTGTTGGGGAGCTTACCTGCATCGCAGCCTGAACCTGCGCCCGGATTCACCAGTCACGGCAGCCTGAACTTGTGGTCAGGCCTCTTACTGCGAAGTCTAATTTCCTGATGAAATCTGGCACAGAGTAAAGGACCCAAAGCTCCAAATCTCCGAAATTCCATGCAAAGAGCTCGCCGTTCATGGTCCTATATTGGTAAATCCGCTGAGAAAAGAAGGTCCATCAATTGCTTTATTCTTAAAGCCCTTAGCAAATATCATGTCAACCAGTTTCTTCGAAGCAGAGATAACAAACAGGAGTTGAGCAACATTGTCCGAAAATGTTTGCGCCCTTGACGCATGTTTTAATCCGCGCGGAGGACGCCAAACCCTACACCTTGAACAAAACCCAAAAGGTCCATATAGCCACGTCATGCGTTATTTTGTTGGGCCCTAAAGTAAGTAAATAAGAATCTCTTTTGGGCCTGAGTATATATATATATATATGTGTGTCCGCGCTCTGCGCTCTCAGTCCCCGCCCCTAGCATGGTCCGCATGATCTGGAGATGAGCTATATCTTTTACCTCCTCCCCGCCCCAAACATGAATCCTCTGTAAAAAATCTCTAAATCCTCTGTCGAAACCTTTTATGAATGCTGTCAGCCCTCACCACAGGACCACGGGGGGTACCTTCATAAGCACACAACAAAACTTCATAAAACCTTTGTAGACCCTCTACGTACCCTCCAGAAAACTCTCTAACCGTTTATAAGCCGTCTATAAAAGCTATGAATCACCTGTAAACCTTTTATAGAAAATATAAACTCTATAAGACCTGTATAAAACTCTATCAAACTTTCATAAGCCCTCTAGAATCCCCCCAGCAATCCTCTTGAACCTGATAAAAACCTGCTATGAGACTGATGACCCTCCTGTTATTCTTCCGCTAGAAATCCTCTATAAACACCATGAGCCTCTATTAACTAGTCTAACCTTTAAGTTAAACCACCGAACCCAGACCACAGGAACACATGACCATTCATGATACCATATATCATGGACATTTGTGCGGGAGAGGGGGGAAGCCGCGAATATATATATATATATATTTATTTATTTATTCATTTATATTTTTTATTTATTTGTTTACCTCTCTCTCTCTCTCTACATGAATCTTTTGGGTACAGAACGACGCTACCCTTACAGACTTTAAGCCAAGTCGCCTCTTCAGCACTTGGGGTATGGTGCAGAAGTGAGATCCGCTGGTTCCTTGCAGGCTATGGTATGCAACCCTAAACCCTAAACCCCAAAGATTCAGGTGCAAGAGTTGAGACTAGGTGACTCATTAACACATACTAGCCCAACACAAACTAGCATAGTCGCCCTGATGGTGTCCATAACACTCATAGGCTATTCGCAAGGGATGGACAGGTGGATCTGCGATCATATGGCACCCTAAAGCCTAAAACCCTAAAACCCTGAACCCTAAACACTCTACGGACAGTGGAAAACGACGAGGTGAATGGAGAGACTTTTCAGAATGCATAGTGCGGCCACGTGCGGTCACGAAATGGAGGCGTTTCTATGAGCTATAGTCTAAACTCCTTGGAGGGGTTATATAGGGTATTATTGGTTTTTTGAGGGAGGATGCTTGGAGTTTAGACTATAGCTCATATTACAGTAATATACAAGCTCAGGTCAATAAGGGGTCTGGAGCAAAGCCGAGCAAAGGGGAGGTTCAGGGCTCCGTTCTTGCAAAACTCTTCAGTACTTTAGGGCCTATGATTCAGGGTGCGTAGGGTTTAGGGTTTAGAGTTTGGGGGTTAAGAATTTAGTGTTTAGGGTTACGATTCAGGGTTCAAGTGCTCATTGCTGACACCGTCTCTCCATACATGGTCTGGGGTAGAGAGCTTGTATCTCTGGCAAAACTTATTTGTTGGCATATCGTCCGTGGGCCATCAGCTAGGAGGACCCCCAACCTGTAATACTGGTATAATTGGAATATAAGAGGATCCCTGCGTAGTCCATTTACTGGGTGATGGGGTCCACCTAACTCATAAGCGAAAATGACTAGGACTCCTGCGAGTCATCATTCAGACCTACAGCAGTGCCCAATAGAAAGGCCCAAATATCAAGTGAACCATAATCTTAACTCCTAGTATCCCCCTTAATAAGCCCTGTAATAGTTCCCGAGGTAATCCCTTATGTAAGATAATTGTTTAAGTAAACAACTACCCCAGAACGCAGACAGGAAGCTTGCAAACTAACACGGGATAACACGGGTAATCCCAGACTGCGATCAGAACCGCAACCCTTAACCCCAACCCGTGAATTGTCGCAATCAGGTTCTGGTCGTCTTCCATCCCTCAACTGCAGAGTTTCATTTATTCCCCTTGCAGCCGGACTCAACTGGAGGAAAGGCAACCCACAAAATCTGAACACTGAATCGCCTATCTGTTGCACCTTAGAACCTGAAAAAACTAAACTGCAGGGGTGCCGTCTTCGCGCTGATAGCGCAGGTAGGTCCTTAACTGTTCTAGCTCGCCAGGGCAACCTAGAATGGATCGAGGTAAAGTTTAAGCCATCTGGAACGGGGCGGGGGCCGGGGAGGGGCCAGGGTGGAATTACGGGTTGGAGCTTCAAGAAGCACGTTACATTTGCAGGCAGAGTAAAAGTGGCAGCCGACGAGTCGGCAGAGACTTGCATCTGAATTTACCAACAGACTCAAAGTTTCGACGGCGGCACAACAAGAAGAACAGGTTTCACCCGCACATCTTGACTACTGCCGGCGTAAATTTGTGGGTGTGAACAAACCAATGAAACGCGTAACAGCGGGATGTACAGCGCTGAGCGCTCTGTACAGAAGAATCACTGGTTGAGTCGATCATAAGCGACCTTGCTGCGTCGAGCCCCGACGGCCCCCACAAATCAGAAAAGAGAGTTACTTGGTCGCCC